TGTGTGTGTGTTTGTGTGTGTTTGTGTGTGTGTGTGTGTGTATGTTTGTGTGTGTGCGGAGTGTGTCTGTGTGTGTGTGTGTGTGTGTGTGTGTGTTTGTGTGTGGAGTGTGTCTGCGTGTGTTTGTGTGTGTGGAGTGTGTGTCTGTGTGTGCGTGTGTGCATGCGTGCGTACAAAAAATGTAATTTTGTAGTTTTCAAGGACTTGAAAGGAGCTGTGGAAGTTGCCTAAGTTTGGCAGCCATTTTCTCACTAATTTTATCTCTGGAACCAGGCTCCTTCAATTGCAAATATCTTGACTTCTATGCAAGATAGACAGTTGTTTTTATCATCAAAAGCAAGATAGATAACAAGCTTAAAGATGGTACCAATAACTCAATATACCCAAAAATTGACGAGCGCCTGATTGCTCCACAACGATACTCAATTGTATGATGTAGGAGGTCTTCCCTTATATTTCACTGTTCTTCGATTTTGCTCTGCAACACAGTTCTCATCAGGTGTGTTTTTATAAATCTGTTTGCATGACCGAGGTATTTGAGTCTCGTTTTGCTGATCTTAGAAAGCATAATATACTTGGGGCAGCTGGATATGCTTTTCTAGAGCCCCCTCTCATGCCAGATCACCTGGTTCGACTTCCCAGTTTGTTGTGGTGTGGTTGGAATTACCTTGACCTTTTCCTGAATAACTGCGGGTTTACTTTCATGTGTTTTGCTCATCTTGTCTCAGGTAGATGGGTTTATGATGTAGCTTTTTTGGTCTTTGATAAGGAAGAAAAAATCAAGACATTTGGAGTTACGGGAGTGTCTAAACTGGTCACTTCTGAAGAAGACATAATATTCTTCTACATGTATTATCACTTCGCTACTCTCGTTCATGATAGTTCGGCTTGTCTGAAAGTGAGAGATGTATTGTGATATGAGAGATTGTTTAGAAATCTCGTCGGAGATGGTACGTTCAGTGTTTCAGATAAGTGCTCACTTAGTCAGAGTTTGTTGCTAGCTACATAAGTGCACAGACATACATGGTTCATGAATTCTGGGAAAAACTGATTTGCCAATTCAAAGATTTTTGCTATCAAAATGTGTCATGACATGGTGGAACCAGGCGCTCGTCAATTTTTGGGCATGTGGCATAATCTTAAAGCTTGTTTATTTGTCTTTCTCTTGGTGGAAAAATGTACACATCTATCTTGAATAAAAGTTTGGATATTTGTGATTGAAGGAGGTGCATGTAGCCTGTTTTTGAGGTAAAATTTGCGAGAAAACGGTTGCCAAAGTTTGGTAACTTCTATAGCTTGAAATTCTTTGAAAAATGAAAACTTACATATTTTGACCAATTAATCCACGTTTTTCAGTAAAATTCACATGGAAGTGTATTTTTATATGTACATTAAAAAAAATGTTGAGCCAAAAAAACTATTGGATAAAAATGGCCAGACTTGATGAAAAATGCCTGTTTCGTCAATTTCATTATTTTGACAAGAGTCTGATTTGACCACAATGCCTCATCACAAATAGCTGTCATTACGATATTTTTTTTTCAGACCAGCATCGATTCCATATCCAAGGAAAAGCAGAGTTTATCCGAGAAATGCGACTCCCTCAACTCGGAAGTGAAGACTCTCCGCGTGGACGCGATGAAGTCGTCAACTCTCCAGGACATCGTGGACATTCTGAGCAACGACAAGAAGCAGCTCTCCGAGTCTCTTGAGTCCCTCAAGAGCAAGTTCGAGCAGACGAGTAGCGAGAAGGAGCAGCTGGCCAATCAGAACAACCGTCTGTCCAAGGAGGAGCAGGAGCTGACCAATCAGCTACAGGCGTGCAAGGAGGAGCTGGAGCGCGTGCAAAGGGAGAGGGATGGGCTGAGCAGCGACAAACACGAGCTGCTGCAGGTCAAGGTTAAGCAGGAGGAGGTGGAGGGGTTGCTGCGGGGCGAGTTGGAGGAGATGAGTAAGGTGAGTGGGGAGGGAGGGGGAGATGAGTAAGGTGAATGGAGAGAGAGGAGGTGGAGGAGGGGATGAGTAAGATGAGTGGAGAGGGAGGGGGTGGAGGAGGGGAAGAGTAACGAGCGTATACTATGGCCTGGCACCTGAAGTCTCCGCTGGTACTTAAAGTGTTACAGTGAAATACTTTGGTAGAATTAAATGTTTCTGCGCATACTTGTTTATGTTATAATTGAATATCTGAGAATAACAACAAGGTTCATTCTCATTTTCCTAAAAATAGAGTTCTGATTATCATTCGAAAGAGAAGACAAAGGGCTATTATTATTAGTTGCACTGACGAAGCGCTATTCTGTTCCTATGCCCATTTATTTTTGTTCAAAGATGCGACGCCTAAGTGCAACATCAAGGTCAAGTCCAGTAAAAAGTCTATTAAAGACCTCTAGTCGGAACATACTTGTATGTATGTATTTCACGAATGAGGTTTTGGCTCATTTTCTCGAAATTATCTTAATGTGACTTGACAATGGTGTTTTTCTCTGGTCTTCAATTTTAGAACAGCCCTACTCGGCTGTTAATTTTCTTTCATTGTATATACTCCACACGCCCAAAAAAACCCAACTGATGAGGGCACTGATGATTCCACTGTATCGTTACGCTTTTCTTTTTTTCTTGTCTTCTCGCAGGTCAAAGAAAAATTTGTCAGCCAGACGGAGAGCCTGAGTAAAGAGAACAAAGATCTTCTCAACAAACTGGAGCAGACGAGAGAGGAGCTGGACGCAGCCAAGACACAAGTGCAGGAGCTTGCCAAGCAGCAGGTCTGTTGGCTTCATTTAATGAATTTTAATGAGAGTCATCATTCATCATCATTGCCTTTCTCACCCTGGATCGGGATATAGGCCATGAACAAACACTCTCCACTTTTCCATATCCTGGGCTAGTCGCTTGATGTCACTCCATGTCTTCCCACTTTTCTGTACATCCATTTCTGTGACTCTTCTCCAGGTTCCACGTGGTCTTCCCCTTGATCTTTTACCCTGTGGGTTCGCTTTCTTCCTACCTCCTCTCTGACCGGGCTCTGTCTCGTTCTTCTTAATACTTGCTCGTTGGTGATCCTGTCTGTCCATCTGATCCTCAGCAGCTTCCTCAGACACTTGTTCAAGAAAACGTGGATCTCTCTTTATGCACGTCTGAGATGCCTTCCACGTATCACATCCGTACAACTAGACGGACTTCTCATTTGAATTTAAAATTTTCAGCCCTGTTCGTAGTGAGATATACCTGGTCCTCCAAATCCTGTTCAAAGAAATAAATGCAGTCTGTGCCTTTCTGATGCGGAACTTTATTTCAGCGCCTGTTCCTCCCTCTTTATCAATCTGGTTCTCCGTCACTCCATCCGGTGATACCCATGTAGCCTTGTGGATCCTCTTGTGGGGAAAAACAGAGCCTCCAATGACAAAATTGTTGAAAGCACAGATATTTACAAATCGCTCACCATTCTCATTCATTTGTCCCAAGCCATGTTGTCCCATGATTCCCTCATAACGTACGCTGTCCTGACCAATCTTGGCTTTGGCATTTCCCATTATGATGTTGACATCCTTCCTTGGTAGTTTGTCGATGACCCCTTGGAGCCGGCTGTAAAAAGCATCCTTGTCTTCTTCCGATACTTCGTTTGTTGTGCGTAGATCTGAACTGTGTTCATGTTGATGCTTTTACTCCTTGTGGTTTTAATGAGAGTAATATATAATTTAATTTTTATGTATACTTGCATGTGTTTTTACGGTCCTGTACAGCCAAGACAAATTTCCTTCTGGGACAATAAAGTATTATCTTATCTTAACTCATCTTAACTTTTTGTTATGGTGACCATCATCATCATAATTGTCATCGTCATTGTCATCACCATTGTCATCACCATTGTAATCATCATCATTACCATTGATGTTGTCATTGTCAAAGCCAATCATAATCATTTCCATACATTTGTGTGTATTAATGTTCCCTGCGTGTGTGTGTGTTTGTGCACAGATCATCATTTCCATACATCTGTGTGTATTAATGTTCCCTGTGTGTATGTGTGTGTGTGTGTGTGTGTGTGTGTGTGTGTGTGTGTGTGTGTGTGTGTGTGTGTGTTTGTGTGTGTTTGTTCACAGATCATCATTTCCGTACATTTGTGTATATTAATTTTCCCTGCATGTTTGTGTGTTTGTTCACAGATCATCATTTCCATACATTTCCTTACATTTGTGTGTATTTTTTCCCTGTGTGTGTTGCACACATCATCATTTCCACACATCTGTGTATATTAATGTTCCCCATGTGTGTGTGGGTGTGTTTGTGCACAGATCATCATTGACCACCTGAAGGAGCAGAATCAGAGCCTGCAGCTACAGATGAAGACGTCCCACGAGGAGCTGGACAAGTCCAAGGACAGGGAGACCATGCTCATCACCACGCAGGTCTGGGAGTGTGGGTTATGTCTGTTTGTTTGTTTGTATATTTGTTTGTTTGTTTGTACGTGGACACACACATACATGGATGCATGCATGCAGGCGCGGCATGCACGCACACGCACACGCTCAAGCATATACACACATGTACATGCACACGCACCCACATGCACACACACACACACACACACATACACACACACATGCATGCATACACACACCCAAACATGCACACACATGCATACGCAAGTGTATGTGCACATCTATACACTCGCACACACACTTTTCCCTCACACATCCTCTCTTCCACACACATCTGTGCACGTAACCACAATAATACAATAGTATGCTTGCACTCACAAACAGAATCACTGTCACATGCATAATATAAATGAACAGTAATTATAAACATTAATAGTGTTAAGCTAGATACGTATTCAGTATTCTGATTGTAACTCAATAGTATTCTGAAGCATGCTTTAAAGGTCATAGGTGTATATGGTCACTTTTAAGGACAAGTGGGCTAACCCAGATTTTGGGGGTTCTGTCGCAGTTCTTGCATGTCAGTGAGATGGGGATGGGGGGGGGGGGGGGGGGGGGGGTTAATGGTGTGAAAAAAGACTGTGTTGTATCTTATGGGCTCACCTTCACTTTCATTCAACACTGTAAAGTTACCCATTTTGAATTTAATGTCAGATTTCTGGATTAAAACCGGTCAAATTTTACTCCTTTTTTTTCTTTTCTAACAGCAATCCTTACAGAAAAGCCATGACGACATTGAAAAAAGGTAAGACCTCATACTTTGTAATACAAAAAAAGGTACTTGTATTAGACCATTACTATAACTGCCAAAGCTGTATTGTTTGTACATATGTATTTGTATATTACACTCTATGATGAGTAGCCCCCTTTTACAGTGGTTTTAACTGTTGCTTCAACATGGCCGACTTACATCTCAAAATGATGCAACTGTGAAATGAAATTAACTATCTTTTGTTTTAGGAGAAAAAAAATGGTTGAGTTTCTGTTTCTGTGCTGTTTAATGTTTGTCTTTCTTGATCCCACCAGAAAGTCGTGTGTCTTCTCCTATAGGTAGGGCAATGCCCACTTTTGGTGTAGGTCAAGATTTCTGGAAACCCCCCGAAATCTGGGTTAGCCCACTTGTCCTTAAAAGCGACCAATTATACCTGTGTAGTGGTTGGGGATCTCTGTCTTCTCTTCTCCTACCATCATCAAATGTGACACGGCGTGGGGTGGAATCAGAGTCTCGTTAATTTTTGGGCTTGTGGAGTTATTGGAATTATCTTAAAGATTTTTCATTTGCTTTGCTTTCGATGAAAAAAATATCCATTTATCTAGAATAGAAGTAGAGATATTTGCAATTGAAGAAGGTGGGGTCACATGATGCCAGAAGTAAAATTAGTGAGAAAATGGCTGTCAAATTTTGATGGCTTCCATAGCTTAAGAGTCCTTGGAAACTGCAAACTTACATTTTTTGTGTCTTTAATCGACGTTTTCCATAAAATCCTCAAGTAAAAGTGTTTTTGAATGGACATACAATACGTTCAGGCAAAAAGCAAAAATATGAAAAAAATTTCCAAACTGGCCGAAAAAATGCCGATTTCTCTGATTTCACTATTTTGACGAGCTCCTGATTTCACCTCGATGGCTCACCTATTATGAAAAAAACATTGCTTCTATTCTTCTTTCCTATCAAACGTCTATCGTCTTTATCTCCCCTCCTTATTTGTGTTTGTTACTGTCTTATAACACCTCTAATCTTCGGCACTTATATATGACTTTATTGTGTTACAAGTGCCGTTAAACTCTTACTAAAGCTGAAAAAACACTGATAATGATACCAAGTGGATGGTTAGTGGGTATTCTGGTGTGGTTAGCTCCTTCTTTTCT